ACCTGTATGCAGCTCAAAAAACAACAGTTAGAACCCAGTATGGAACAATGGACTGGTTCAAAACTGGGAAAGGAGTACGTCAAGGCTGTATATTGTCACCCTGCTTGTTTAACTTATATGCAGAGTACACTGCGCAACTGAAAACAACAAGAAAGGGCTGGTGGCTCAGCTGGTAAAGGATCCACCTGCAACGCAAGAGAGCGTCTGCAGTGCAGGAGAGCCAGGTTTGATCCCTGGGTCAGGAAGGTCCCCTGGAGAAGGAAATAGCAACCCACTCCAGTATTCTTGCCTGGGAAATTCCATGGACAGAGGAGAGTGGTGGGCTACAGTCCATGGGGTCACAAGAGTCGGACACGACAGCGCTAAACCAAGAAAGTGTGCAGAATCTGGAGGACAATACTCCATTCTATCCTTACATACTATTTTTCAACATACAGAATACTACACTGTTCTCACATTTCACACCAGGGTTTTGCACTCTTAACTATTGTGTAGGACAAGCTAAATTGTGTAACACCCATCCAATCGTCCCCTCAAAAACAGTGGTTTTGTAAATCTGCAAAGGCCGGAGAGACTCCCAGGAGAAAGTGAGCATCCTGGTGACAGCTGCCTGGCCTTGTCCACTGCTGTGTGCCCTGAGCCCGGAAATGGCGCACGGGACTCACAGATGCCCAGCACATAGCAGGCACCCTGTGCTACCCTGTGAAGCAGGTTCTCTTTTCTTCAATCCTAAAAGCAAAGAAACTAAAGCTTAGAGAAGTCAGGAAACCTCCATGGAGTCTCACAGTTAAGAAGCTGGGAAACTGCGGTCCAAACCCAGATTTGAAAGTCAGTTCATAGCCCTTCTTTCCCAATTCCCAGCATACCTTTATTTATTACCTCTTTTTTTTTTTTTTAATGACAAGCCTTACCAGTGATCATCTATTACACAGTCTTTGTAAGCTGGATGGATCACATCCCATTAAAAAAACAACATGAGTGGATTATCTGTTCTTACTTAATTCCTCAGGGAGTATGTAATCAGGAGCCATATTTATTAAGCCACAGGATAACACAGCTAAAAGCATCATCAAAGGTCCAAATTGCTCACATCATATTAATCTCTTATTCTTTAATAAGGGCAGACTCTCTAGAGAGCAAGGCAAGACTAAAAGAGTTAAGTGGCCTAGGAAATATAGGGACTGAATGGATATAGTATTAGATTTGACAGTGAAAGGGCAAAAAGTTCAGAGAAGTTAAGAGAATCCTGTGACTACATATAGATTAGTTACTGTTTTCTCCTAAGTAATTTTTATTTTGCATTATTGCTTGACTAAGCCTTGTAATACTCTATCAAAGTAATTAGGTAATGACAAAGAGTATGCTGCGGCTACCCCCTGAAGGGGAAGCTATTGGGGCTTCCCTGGTGGCTCAGCTGGTAAAGAATCCGCCTGCGATGCGGGAGACCCCGGTTCGATTCCTGGGTCGGGAAGATCCCTGGCGAAGGGACAGGATGCCCACTCCAGTGTTCCTGGGCTTCCCTGGTGGCTCAGCTGGTAAGGAATCCACCCGCAATGTGGGAGACCTGGGTTCCATCCCTGGGTTGGGAAGATCCCCTGGAGAAGGGAAAGGCTACCCACTCCTGTATTCTGGCCTGGAGAATTCCAAGAACTGTATAGTCCATGGGGTCACAGAGAGTCCGACACGACTGAGTGACTTTCACTTCACCCCCAAAATAAAGAAATCCACAGTTTATGGGTAAGCATTAAAACCAAATGATTCGAATTTCTAAGAATGGTGCATAATCTCATTAAAATGAATTCATAAAATGCATTAATAATATAGATATGTATTTATACAGCCAGCAAATTTGGCTTCCAAATGTTTTCCTCAGGCAACGGCAACAGCAGAAATAAACAAATGGGTCTAGATCAAACTATAAAGATATTTGTACAGCAAAGGAAACCATCAACAAAATGGAATGGCAACCTTCTGAATGGGAAAAGATACTGCAGATGATCTATCTGATAAGGAGTTAACATCCAAAATAAATAAAGAACTCACACAACTCAAAAACAAACAAACAATCAATCTGATTGAAAAAATAAGCAAAGGATCTGAATAAACATTTTTCCAAGGACCTGAAAAAACAGATACATGAAGAGATGCTCGACATGGCTAGTCATCAGGGAAATGCAAATCAAAACTATAGCTACTGTCAGAATGGCTGTTACCAAAAGACAACAGGCGCTGGCAAGGGGAGCCCTCGGGCACTGTTGGTGGGGATGTAATTTGGTATAGCCCCCACGGTGGAGAACAATATGGAAGTTCCTTAAAAAATCAAAGATAGAACTACCATATGATCCAGCCACTCTCTTCCTTGGTATTTATCCAAGAAGAAAATGAAAACACTAATGAGGAAAGATACATGTGCCCCCACCATGTTCACTGTAGCATTTTAGTTATAATAGCCAAAATATGGAAGTAAACCTAAACTTCCATCAACAGACGAATCGATAAAAAAGATGTGATACATATATACAATGTAATATTACTCAGCCACAAACAAAAAATGAAATAATGCCGTTCACAACAACATGGATAGACCTAGGGGGTAATATGTTATGTGGAATAACCGAGAAAGACAAATACCATAAGATTTCATTTGTATATGAAATCTAAAGAACAAAACAAGTGAATGAACAAAACAGAAAAAGACTCACAGAAAACAAAGTGGTTGCTGCCAGAGGGGAGGGTGGTGGGGTAGCTGGATGAAGCAGGTGAGGGAGACTAAGAGGTACAAACTTCCAATTATAAAGTACCTCATGGGATGTAATTTACAATAAGAGGAATGTCAATAATATTATAATAACTGTGTATGGTGGCAGATGGCTACTAGACTTAAAATGGGATCAATTAAAAATGTATATAAAGGGTGAAAAAAGTGAAAGTGAAAGTTGTTCAGTCATGTTGGACTCTTTGCCACCCCATGGGATAGACAGTCCATGGAATTCTCTAGGCCAGAATGCTGGAGTAGGTAGCCTTCCCCGTCTCCAGGGGATCTTCCCAACCCAGGGATTGAACCAGGGTCAATCACTATAAAACACAATGTACACACAGTGTACTTAAGTGTACACTATGTTGTACACCTGAAACTAATAATATTGTAGGTCAACTATACTTCAATGAAAAATAAAAATTATTTGGAAGTGACTGTCGAGACTGATACTTCAGTTTTCATTTAATTTGCTTTAATTTAGCTTTAATTTGCCTTTGGTGGTCGATGTTCTCAGATTAGTAAAGACAGAATTCAAGTGAGCATTTGGGAAACCCATCACATTCATTTAAAAAGTCAAAGTGCAGTTTCTGAAGACGGTATCACATCACTAAACATCACTTCTTCAATTAGGATAGTAGAATCCTAATTGAGAAGGAAAATACACTATACTCTATCTTAAGTAGAATCAACTATGAGAATAATTAGAACTGAGGCCAAATGCATTTAATCAGCAGAGTGACATCAAACAAATAACATTTATAAACAGAATTTACTCTTGGCTGGAAAGGAAAGGGGGATAGTATCATAGGTGGATGTCTCTGCAAAGAAATACACAACCAGTGAAAAACAAAGACTCAAAGAGATACACGAAGAGATGCTGAACAGAAAGTGGCTAAAAGGAATATTCCCCCAGTGTCTAGGAGGCTTTTTCTGTCAGTTATCAAAGGCTTGAGAAGGACCATTCCTACACTACAAGAGGGTAATAAGGCCAGAGGGCCTTCCTCCTAAGCCCAGACAGAGTCTTTTTTCCCCCACCCTGCTTTCAGAAATATCAGAACACTGATTCTAGGGCTTCAAGAACGTGGCTCATGGGGTCTGCTACAGGCGCCACTCCAAATGCCTCATCCTCCATTGAGTACGTCATCACTGCGGCTGGGATCCTGGATGCACACCTTACTGTGTGTGACCCTGAGCAAGTCTCTACCCCTCCAAGCCTAACTTGCCTAAGCTGTAAAGTAGGATAATAAAAGCTACTTCTGCAGGGATCTTGTGAGGATTGTAAATAATGTCTGTAAAGCACCTAACCATCTCCGATATTTAGTAGGCGCTACAAATGTTAGCTATTATTATCAGCAGTGGCATTCCAAACACCAATCGAGTTCATTTTATTCACACACACAAGTTTGATGCTTTGCTAATTACTTGCTTTGTAAATCAGTTCTGTTTTGCTTTTAAAAATGTGGTATTGAAAATCAGAAGAGATGATGGGGTATCTTTACACCTTCTTAGCTATTAAGACTCAGACAGGTTACTAGCTCAAGAAATTCATCTCCTATGTAGGTAGCCCCTACCTCTTACTTCACTAAGATCTTAAGCTTGGTTAGAAAATAAGCCACAATGTTATATTATGATGTGGTGCTATCAAGCATAAAAGTCAATTTTCTGAATATCAGCCCAAGAAACAAATATCAGCATGATTCATCCCAATAAAAGCAAAAAATAAATACATAATCTTCCACAAGGTATAAAGTTAGCCAAACAGGTACCCTCACTTAATTGTATCTGTTTGATGATCTTTTATCAGTTTAAGGAGGGAAAAAAAGCATATTTCAAGACATGAAACTCTGAGCAAACCCAATATTAAAAGCAACAACTTCCAGAGTACAGCCTTTAGCCATAGCAAAGCCACCGTAACCTCTTTCATTTCCTATATTTACACTATTAAACAGAGACCTAAAGTCACAAAGACAACCCTGAGTCACTTTAAGAATCAACAAAAGTACGTTTTCTGAGCAGAACGGAGGCAGGAAAAGGTCGTGGTGTATTTTAAAAATCATTTCCACATTTCAAATCATCATTTTTTGGTCAAATCATCAGTTAATCAAAATATGAAATTAATTAGAACTATTTCCCTCCAAATCCTGTTAAGCAATAAGATTAATGTATTCTTAGAAAGCTCTGGAATCACGCCAAATTATTTTCCTTCCTAGAAGCAGCGTTTGGAGGCGAACGGGGAACTTACTCAGACTTGCCGTCAGCGATTCTAAGTCTGCGATGAGGCCTGGAAGCTGCTGAAGCTGCTGCTGCAGGTCCCGGAGGCTCGCCTGCTTCTTCTCCCAGTGCGCGGAGAGCATGACCACCTCGCCGTCCACGCGCTGCAACACGGAAGGGGAGGGTCAGGCCCAGGGACTACAGGCACAGAGGTCAGACCGCGTGGCGAGAGCCAGCCGTGTTATCTGCAAAAGCCCTTCTACTGGGTCCAGACAACACGACACTGAGGAGACTGGCGTTGTTTTCTTTCTTAGAAAAGAACCACCTTAATAACCAGTGCAGAAAGACCTCAAATTACAGGTTGTATTGGTGCGTCTTAACCCGGGAAAGAGAAAGTTCAGCCATGACCTTAGAAGTCACTTCTAACTACACCCTGTTTCTAAGTAAACCATGTATTTGCACAATTCAAATCTAGAAAAAATAAAACAGAAAACAACCACTAACAACTGAAAAGAAAACAAACAAAAACAAAGCCGAGACATAATGAATGGGTAATTATTTGCCTTACAAAAGGACTTATTTGAAAGAAAAGTCCCCTAATGCATTTAGAATATACCATGATTCAGTTTCCATTTAAACAGGAACGTTCACTGAATAAAGTAAGATAAATGGTACCTGTATACAAAGGAATCACGGAGGCAAATGAACAACTTCATAAAAAAAAGGAGAAAAGGATTTACACTAACAAATTCAGACGTGAAAGCTTCCTAATAGCAGGGATGTGAGATGCTAGGCTAGCCTAAAATAATTTTGACTTCTTTTCCAGAAGACTTAAAGAAAATGACAGACAGTTTCTCCCAGACAGTTTTGTTTTGGTCCTAACATGGTGAGAGGGGAAAGGCCTACAATAAGATTTAGAAGGGACATAGAGAGGTTATCTTTTGAAAACATCACTAGTGATGAGTAAGAACTGTGGAAGATTCCCGCATGTTGTACAATAAAGACTGCAAAATTCATTATATAACAAAAGGAAGTATATCTGAACTTTATCTGTAAAATATAAAGTTTTAATATAAAAGAGTTCACAGTTAAGTTATATAAAAAAGGGGCAATTTATACAACCCATGATGAAGATTCTTCAAGAGGTGAAACACAAATACAACTGATTTTTACTGAATTTCACTAAAGAAAGACCTTTCAGAGGAATAAAAATACCAAAATAAGATACAAAATTATTTGCATGTGGTGCTAGATTGTTTTAGCTTCTACATTTTAATATTCCAGGAATTCACAACATTGAAATAAAAGCAAGAAAGAGATCAGCCAGCTGCCCTGTTTCCTCATTTTATCCCCACCTCACACCTCTCCCCGTCGTCAGGCAGTCCACGTTGGAGGGGTAACACACACCGTCTCACACACCAGCCTCAGCTGAGCTGGAGAGGCGACACCGGGGGCATGATCATCAATTCTGCATGCTTAAAGACGCCTGTGCCAGCCAATATAAAGATCCCAGAGAGCAGTTTAAAAAATACTGAGCATTGCTAACAGATTAATGTGGCTAATACAGCTTCTCTGTGATGCAATAATAAGAAAATTAGGGCTTGAAATAAGAACCCCTGCCCATAGGATTCATCTGTAATATCCAACAAGCTTCTACTGAACACCTGCTCTTTGCCTGGCTCTGTTTCAGGCACTGAAGATACTGTGGTGAACAAAAAAGAAAAAAAAATTGTGCTTTACTCTGGAGTAGGTCTCACAAATTCTCTAGGCCTCAGCTTTTAAACACTAATAAAAGAAAAAATAATTTCCTGTATTACAGGGCTGACGATGATAAAAGGTATTTTTCCTGGTACATGGCATATCTTTTAAAAAGTTTGTTAAATCTTAATTGCAGTGGTTAATTGTGTTAATAATTTGAAAGCTCTAGAATAAACAATTTTTAGATACAAATATTACTGAAAAGTAAAATGAAACATAAATATTAAAACTTCAGTATAGTTCATGCCTTCCACGAAATGCAAAATCATATTCTGTATATAGAGTATAAGAAGTGTACATAAAAAGAATCTATCAAAATACATTCAAATATTATTTTAATTTACAAGAATGGGATGTTGAATGGATTCTCCGAAATCATTATCGACAATTATGTAATATGAGTAAAGCATTTTGAGCATTTTCTATGTGCCAGGCCCCGTGTTAAGCAATTTACATTAAACACATAGCAACCCTGTAAACAGAGCAATATTACTACATTCATTTTACAGAAGAAGAAACTGAGGTGCAAGGAAGACAGGTCACTTGCTCAAGGGCCACACAGGACCTAGATTCAATCCCAGGAATCTGACACTTAAGCCCACGTCCTTAATCAATCTTCTAGGGACTGTGTATGCAGGGACACAAAAGGAAGAAAAGTGAAAAGTAGCGAAAGAAAAGGTTCTGAGAAACTGTACTTTAGCTTTACTTAATAAGGAAGGAGCCATCTTCAGAAGGCCAATTTTTCTCCTCCAAGTAAACAATTCTGAATAAATCCAGATTTAACACCAGGAAATCAAGTTTAAGTAGCAAGACAAACCCACAGTTTGGGCTTGTTCCCAGTTACAAATCATCCCAAAAGTCCTTCTGGTGGACACTGAAGTTAGGAAAACGAAGAAAAAGCTGGGACCCAAATGATTTTCAAAATGGGTAATATTTGGGTAATAAAACAACATAAAAACTTTTATATTTGTAAACAACAGTTCAGCATTTTGGGGGAATGCTTCCCTGATAGCTCAGTTGGTAAAGAATCCACCTGCAATGAGGGAGACCTGGGTTCGATCCCTGGGCTGGGAGGATCCCCTGGCTAAGGGAAAGGCTACCCGCTCCAGTAATCTGGCCTGGAGAAGTCCATGGATGAGTCCATGCGGTTGCAAAGAGCTGGACACAACGGAGCGACTTTCACTTTCACTTAGGTCATGTGATTTTCAAACAACTGTTTGCTAAGCAGGGTAAATGGTGTTATACCATTTTATGTGAGTCAATCAGAAACAGAGAGACTCCGTTTATCTGCCTAAGGTCAAAATGCATTACTGCAGAAACCAGGCATTCCCACACTCAGTTCAGTCCACTCCCCACCACAAGCAGAAGAGATTCAAGCTGGAATCCAAAGAGAATGAAGCATGCCTGATCTAACCAGCTTACACACCAAGATGTCAAAGCTTGAGTCTTGAAAGAGTTCAATCTGAAGGCAGGCAAGTATTTCACAATAATAAAAAGCATAAGCAAATAAGGCACTGGACAGTCTAACTTTAGAAAGTTACCCTCAGAATCTAACCCCTAAGTCACTATCAATTTATGTGTTTATTTACATACTGAGAGAGGGAAAAACAAATCAAAGAACTTATTAAAAAAAAAATCTTGTAGAAAAAGTCTAGACAGCAAAGCTACATTGAACAAACTGTTTGCTAAAGCAACATGGCTCTGAATTTTAAGACTATAAGTAAGAATTAGCTTTAAAGCAGTTAGGTATAAAATAACTTGTCAAAGAAGACTGAATTATCCTTAAGTATATTTGCCCTGGCAGACTGACATTGACTAAAGGCCACTAAAGACACACGAGCATGGCCTGACAAAATACACAATAAAACAGTTTATTAAAGATACACATTTCAAAATTTTACATATGTCTCGATAATACATCAGAGAGATTTAAAATAAATTTTCATTTTTTAATCTGAGAACTATATTTCTGGAAACCAATAGTGGCACTTTTGATAAGATAGGGGTCTTACAATAAAAAAGTACACAACTATGAAAATATTATATATTTACCCCCCATATAATAAATTCAGAAACAGAACTTCCAGGAAATTATATCTCCAACATTTTATTATGAAATGCTTCTTATAATCAAAAGAACAACTTTTGTTAAAGCTCCTCTACAGGATACAGTCTTCACTGAACATTGTGGGATTCATCCATATTGATACATGGAGGTGTGGTGATTCACTAATTTTCATTGCTGCATAGCATTTGATCTTTTTGCAGCACTTCCATGAACAGGGATGGAACTCGGGCCCCCTGCACTGGGAGCATGGAGTCAGCCACTGGACCACCAGGGAAGTCCCTGATCCTATAAATAATAATTTACTCCATAGGGAGACTTTGGGACTGTCTAAAGTTTCAACAAAACCTGCTATAAACATTCTGGAACAAAACTGGTGCACAGAGGCAATTTTCACAAATTAGGTTCCAACGCGTTCCAGGTACCGAGCTCCTCACTGCACCCTCTTCCCCCACCACCCAGTGGCTCAACTGGGCTAGACCTCCCCCAGCCTAGCTACCTCTGACTTCAAGTTCTCTCATCTATTTGTCACACATAATGAACAGACGATAACATACCAATGTTACCCAAGGAGATGTGAGGCACGCAACATCACAGGGCAAAGCTGGAGACATAATGCTACAGAAATCTCCCCAGGGATAGAACTGTTGTTTCAAAAGCTCTGTGGAATTTCAATTTTTACTTCATGCCAGCTCATTTTTCTAAAGTCACTGTGCCAATCGATTTACATTCCCTAGTTCTAGCTGTTCCCCATCACACTGCTGGGGAAGGGAAAACTGTCATCAGTGAGTAATGACTGTCTGCACAGAAAATTCAAGGCTTCTTAAATGCCTGATAATCTAATGAGTGTAAATCTGAGGTTTTAATTTGTATTTCCTTGCCTTCTAATTGATTTTAAACATGTTTTCACATTTACTGGCCACTCACGCTTTTTGTTCAGGGTAATGCCTGGTCATATCTCTCGCGCACTTTTTAATGGGTTACTGTTCTCTTTTTTTATTGGTGTGCAGAGGTTTTTCATGTTTTTTGAACACTAGTCCTCTGTCTTATGAACTGCTTAACTTTTTCATGGTACTGCTTGATGAATAGAAGATATGATAAAAATTATCAATATTTTACTTTATGGTTGGTGTTTATTGTGCCTTGTTAAAGAAACCTTTCTCTGCCTTGAGATCTTAGCTTTTCCACCATTTTCTAAAAAATGTAGTTTTCCCTTTCACATTTAAATCTGCTGGAGCCAAAATCTGAACCAAGATCTTCAGCTTTTATTCAACACTATATTGGAAGTTCTACCCACTATAAAAAGAGATGAAGAAATGAAAAGACTGGTAGGTTTTTGTTTTTTCCCTCCCATCTTCACAAAACTCCCATCCCAGATGCAAATTATCAGAATAAGATGATTTAGTAAGATGATTGACTATGAAATCAAAGTACTGCAAGTCAAATACTGCAGGTTTTGGTAGCTATTAGGACAAAAGTTACCATCTATTAAAAACTTGCTAAAATGTTTTACTCTGAATTAATTTCATTGAATATATTTTCTGCATCTGATGGTCATATATTTTTCTTTTAATTTGTTAACATGGTCAACTGCATATAAAAGATTTTTTAATGTCAAGCCAACCTTTCGATCCTGGAATAAACCGGTTTGGTTTTTGTTTTTTTTTTTTAATGCAAGACTGGATTTAGTTTGTCAACACAGCCATATATAGCAGGTTGTTTCCCAGACAGAACACTATTTGTTATCATCCAACATTCACAGAGCAAACACAAAGTTCTGGCTCAATATTTATATAGGAAAACTTTACATTTAAGCTTGATGTAGATTTTAAAACAATGTGTGAGAAGATTTTCAAATTAAATTTCAAACAATATTGTCAGAATACAAGAATCACAAGACAGTATGAGGAGCCCATCAAAAAGGAGAGGCAGGCCCTGCACACTTCGGGTATTGAGGGGTCACATCACTGCACATGAGGCAGCTGGGTGTCAACCAGTGCACATCACAGGTTTGGAGACGGAAAGCTGTGGATGAAGCACTTGATGTCTTAACAAACTGCTACCATCTACAGAATTTTTTAAACAGAAATATTTAAGAAAGCTGGCGGAGGGCTTGGGGTTGATAGTAACACATTATGACTTTTCCAATTTAGAGTGTGTCAAGTAGGTTCCTGGATAGAATGCACAGAACATCTGATTTCCAGAAACAGGCTGCTGAAGTTAAGTGAGAGCTCATACCTCTATTCTGTTTATAGTTTTTGTATCTGTATTCATGAACGGGAGTGGACTCCAATTTCACTTTCTTGTACTTCACTTGTTGGGTTCAGGATCAGTTATTCTAGCCTCATGCAATGGGCAGGGCAGCTTCCTCTTGTTTCACTTGCTGCAGGAGTCTGTCTAACATTGAGATGGTGGATTCTCTGAAAGTCTCATAGAACTCCTATATAACTTGGTGGGCCTGTTGCTTTCCTAGTAAAAAGATTAATTACTAACACTGTTTCTTTAGTGGCTATAAGATTATTCAGGATTTGTACTGCTTTTAGAATTAGTTTTAGTAAAAATTTCTGGGCTTCCCCCATGAGTCACAAAATAAAGAATCTGTCTGCAAGGCAGGAGACCCAGGTTCAATTCCTGGGTTGGGAAGATCCCCTGGAGAAGGGAATGGCTACCCACTCTAGTATTCTTGCCTGGAGAATTCCATGGACAGAGGAGCCTGGAGGGTGGTCTACAGTTCATGGGGTCACAGAGGTGGACACAACTGAGCAACTAAAACTTTAGTAAAAATTTCTAGTATTTTGCCATTTTGCCCTGTTTTCAAATGTGTCCTAGAGTTGTTCACAAACTCTTTATCTTTTCACTCTCTGCTATAGCTAGTTATATTCTTTAATCCTTAAAACTATTCCTCATTTTTTCTTAATCAGTATAATCGGATAGCTACCATACTTTATTAGTCTTCTAAGAACTTGTGACTTTGTCTAGCATCTATTGTATTTTTACATTCTATTTATTTCTCTCATTTTTATCATCTCTTTCATTCTTCCTTAATAATTTATTCTGTTCTCTAATTCTTAAGTTAGATTAACTCATTGACTTTCAGTCTATTTTTTGTCTATAAAATTTCCCAAGTAGTTTTTGACAACTTACACAATATGCATGTAGTAATTATTGAACCATAAATGATGCATAATATACATGTTTAATTTGCAAACATATGGATTTTTCAAAATTCTTTTCCTATACCAACTTTCAGGGTCATCTGCACCAGGATCACAGGATATTTTGAATGACTTGATTTACGTGCAGCTTGTTGAGAACTGCTTTGTGGCCCAGCACATGGTCAACCTTTACGTGTTCTAGGTGTGCTTTGAAGAATTTGTTGCTTCCTTTTGCCAACAGGTAGCTTTTCTTTTCAAAAATGTCCTAAATTAACCTTTCACCAAGAGTATCTAGAGCTTTATGCAGGAGTCACAGACTCAGTTCCCCATAGACAAAAATCTCCTATCTGAATAAATCTCTAAGACATTTGTTTTCCTATTTGAATCTTGCTTCCATGTTTTGTTTTTTTTCAGCCACTCTCATTTCAGTTCCCTGCTGTTTTTGTTTGCTTGTTTTGGCCCTTTAGGACTTCCCTTAATTTTTGTAAGCTTACTGCATTAAAAAAAAAAATTGTTTTTTAAATCTATCCAGCATTTAGGGGTTTTACGCTTACAGGACTTTTCAAAGTATTTAGTCCGCCTTACTGACAGAAGCCTATATTCTTCCTTTTTCAGTAATTTCTAAGAGAAACACTAACGTCTAAATTTTATCATGTGTATTACCATGTTCTATGTAACTATTACAGCTTCACTAATTCAGGTAAATGGTAAAGTCAGTTTAAATTAATTAAAAAGTCAGAATCACAGACATGATTTTAGAAAGAAAGTTTGACATCAGTAGCAGAGTATTTGATCTTGGCTAAAAAAGCTTTAGGTACATATACCAGATAATTTTAATTATAAGTCACTTTTATTCATTACACACTCTATAGAGCTAGAAAATAGGTTGTTTCTCTAAGTTATTGAGGTTTATTCCTGAGATTTTTATATTTATTTGCTAATGAGCAAATTAATGATTTTAAGTAGACTGAGCAAAATTAAACTTTTGTCCCCGCCAAAGGAATTCTTAAATAGTGAGTAGAAAGAAATGACATAATTTATATAAACTGCAAAGGTACCAGACTTCAAATTTAAAGCATTATACCTCGATGAACTGAACAGTCACTTGCAACTCTAGAATAAAAGTTATAAACTCTCTAAGCTAACTAAATTACTTGACTTAAAAATTACAAAAAAGTGCTTTATTTAGGGTGTTTCATAATCAACTATAAAATTCACTTTAAGATATCCTGTCAAACATTATAACACAATTATAAGTTTAATTTCTTAAAAACAAGCATTTAAGACTGCAAAAGTATATTTTCCCCATAAGATGAGCCAATTCTTTACCTCTCCAGCACTTGCACATTCCTTGGCCCTTCTGTGGAGTGCAGCCCATGTATCTTCATACCTAAGAAAAGCAAAACAAAAAAAATATTCAAAATAAAAGCCACACATTAAAAACTCCTATCTAAAATATGACCTGTGGTCTCAGAAAGGAAAAGCTCAAAAAGTAATGGAGACATTCTGCAAACACACAGACATCGGCTTGAAGGGGCTTCTAGTTGCCAAATCCAGGACACCGGATTTGGTAGAAAAAATAATGGTAGAAACAGGTTAGAGCTCATAGATGAAAACCAACAGCCATGAGCTTACAGTGATTTAAATAAACAACCAAATAAACAAATGGGGCAGAAGTGAAAACCTCTTCCTTACAGTAGAATTCCAATAAATAATGATAGGAAAAAAAATGAGAAAAATAGAAAATCACCATTTGGTAAACACAATGAATTATTTCAAGCAAGAACTGTAATAGATGCTAAAATTAGTGGGTGAAAATATGAAGAGAAACAGGATGTTTTCATAAATTCATCATAAAATTCATAGGAAATATCAAGGGATCATAAAAAAGCCAAAACAATCTTGAAAAGAAGAACAAAGTTGGAAGACACACACTTCTTAATTTCAAAACTTACTAGAAAGCTATAATAATCAAAAGTATGGTACTGGCATAATGGGAGACATATAGGCCAATGAAATAGAGCCCAGAAATAAACCCTTACATGTATGGTCAAATAACTTTTGACAAGTGTGCCAAGATCATTAAATGGGGAAAGGATAGTCTTTTCAACAAATATGCTGGTGCTAGGAAAACTGCATATCCACAGGCAAAAGACTGAAGCTGGACTCTTAACACCATAAACAAAAATTAAATAAAAATGGATCAAAAAATCCAAACATAAGATCCAAAACTATAAAATTTTTAGAAGAAAACATGAGCTTCTTGCCATTATATTTGGTAATGATTTCTTAGATATAATACTAAAGGCACAGGCAACAAAGAAAATAGACAAACTGGACTTAATAAAAATTAGACACTTGTGCATCAAAGAATATAATCAACAGATAAAAGGCAGCCAATAAAATGGAAAAAAATTTACAAATCACATATTTGACAAATGATTAATATCCAGAATATATATAAAATGCCCAACACTCGACAAAAACAAATACAACCCTATCCAAAAATAAGCAAAGGACTTGAATAGATATTTCTCTAAAGAAGATATATAAATGGCCAATAAGCACATGAGAAGATCACCATCATCATTGTTAGGGAAATGAAAATCAAAACCACAATGAGACACCACTTCACACCAATGAGAATGGCAAGAAAAAAAAAACCTCAAGCAAACAAAAAACCCCAAAAGTTTTGGTGAGGATGTTGAGAAATGGCAACTGGACATATGTGCACTGCCCTGGTGGCTCAGATGGTAAAGAATCTGCCTACAATGCAGGAGACATGGGTTCTACCCCGGGGTTGGGAAGATCCCCTGAAGAAGGAAATGGCAACCCACTCCACTATTCTTGCCTGAGACTCCCATGGACAGAGGAGCCTGGTGGGCTGCAGCCCATGGGGTGGCAAAGAGTCGGACACGACTGAGCGACTAACACACAGGGAGGAATATAAAATAGTGCAGCTGGTCAACAGCATATTGGTTCTTCAAAAAATTAAAGTACAATTACCATCTGATTCAGTATTTCCTCTTCTGAGGATATACCACCAAAAACTGAAAGCTGGGTCATAAAGAGATATTTGCACACCCATGTTCATAGCAGCATTATTCACAATAGCCAAAAAATCAAAGCAACTTGTGTCCATTAATGGATGAAGGTATAAGCAAAATATGGTATATTCATACAACAGGATATTATTCAGCCTTAAAAAGAAAGGAACTTTCTTTGAATTAGTGGTGAGGATGGTGGTGATCACAGTGTAATGCACAGAAAGATCTAATAACTATGTTGTGTACCAGGAACTAACAAAGTATTTTAAGTCAATTTTACTTCAAACACAAGCAAGCAAACAAGTAGAAAAAGAGGTTAGATTTGTGGCTACCCAAGGTGGAGGGACAGGGAATTGAATGAAGGCAGTGAAAAGGTACAAACTTCTAGTCTGTAAGATAAAAGTGTACCACGGATGTAGTGTATATTATTAATATAATTAACAATACTGGACATTACCAGTCCATCCTAAAGGAGATCAGTCCTGGGTGTTCATTGGTAGGACTGATGTTGAAGCTGAAACTCCAATACTTTGGCCACCTGATGTGAAGAGCTGACTCACTGGAAAAGACCCTGATGCTGGGAAAGATTGAGGGCAGGAGGAGAAGGGGACAACAGAGGATGAGATGGTTGGATGGCATCATCGACTCGATGGACATGAGTTTTGAGTAAACTCCGGGAGTTGGTGATAGACAGGGAGGCCTGGCGTGCTGCGGTTCATGGGGTCACAAAGAGTCAGGCACGACTGAGCAACTGAACTGAACTGATATATGAAAGTTGCTGGAATAAATTCTGAGTTCTCATCACAAGGAAAACACTTTTTTCTTTTCTTTTTCTTTTATTTTTTATCCATATGAGATGGTGAATGCTCACTAAATTCACTGTGGCAGTCATCTCGTGTGTAAGTCAAATCAGTATGCAGCAATACCTTAAGCTTACATAGTGGTGTATCCTGATTAAATCTCAATAAAAGTGGACAAAATTAGGAAATTTTTATTCTTTATGGATGAAACTTGAAAATATATTAAGTGAAATAAGCCAATCACAAAAAGACAAGTACTGCATGATTCCACTTACAAAAGGTACCGAAAGTAGTCAAATTTATAGAAAGAGATGTTGAGAATTTTTTCATGTGCTTATCCGCCATTTGCCCATCTTTTTTACGGAAATGTCTATTCAAATCATTTGCCTATTTCTTCAATGGGTTGTTTGTCTTCTTACTGTTGAGTTATAAAAGTTATTTATAGTCTAGATACAAGTACATGAGAAGATGTATAATTTGCAAATATTTTCTCCCCTTCTATGGACTGTTCTTTCACTTTCTTGACAGTATTCTTTAAAGAGCAAGTTTTTAATTTTGATAAAGTCCAATTCATCCTTTTTCCCTTTGTCACTTAAGCTTTTGACGTCATCTAAGAAAATCATGTCTCTAATATTAACTTGCACATCAAGAGAAATGGATTGGAGAAGAAATGGTATAAAATTAAGAATCGAAGCAAGGAAATTATTGAGGACTCAAATCCAGAATCAATTTTCTTGCAACAAAGAAACCACGAACATAATACATGCACACAACAAAGTTATCGATTAGTAAATATAATAGTGATCAATACGCTCAAAATCTGAATGGCCTTTGTATTTATCAGTGAAATGTAAAAGCCCCTGAGCGACACAAATCTATGTGAAGGTAAAAACTTAGTTGTTTTAAGGTGTCTATCTCTAGAATTCGAAAATACTTTTAGATAACAGAAGCACAACCTTTTTATTTAAATGAAAACACTTACCTGCTAAGTAATTCTAGTCCAGCAGAGTACTTTGGCAAACATGGAGCAGTCCTGCCAAAAGAAACACTTATTTTATTAAAAATTGATGCTGCTTTAGGCCAACCTAAAAAAAGTTGCACACAATTTTGATGTTGTCAATCATAATGTGGAATATTTTTAAATCACTAATGACAACTGATCTAAACTTTTAGAAAAACGTACTATTATTCCAAAGTTGTTGTTGTTTAGTCACTAAGTTGTGTCCGACTCTCTTGCAACCCCATGGACTGTAGCCCACCAGGCTCCTCTGTCCATGGGATTTCCCAGACAAGAATACTGGAGTGGGTTGCCATATTCTTCTCCAGGGATCTTCCTGAGCCAGGGATCAAACCTGTGCCTCCTCCTGCTTTGGCAAGCAGGTTCTTTACCACTGAGCCACCAGGGAAGCCCCTATTCCCAAGTTAATATATTGCAACATACTATTAGCCATCACTTTGCCCTGCAGATTTTTAACCCACTATAATACAATAAACACTTGAACAGAATTCTAGCTAAGAAGAAAAAAAAATTTTTTCCCAGAAAAACATCTATTTCTGCTTTATTGACTATGCCAAAAGCCTATGACTGTGTGGATCACAATAAACTGTGGAAAATTCTGAAAGAGATGGGAATACCAGACCACCTGACCTGCCTCTTTTTTTTTTTTCATTTATTTTTATTAGTTGGAGGCTAATTACTTTACAATATTGTAGTGGTTTTTGCCATACATTGACATGAATCAGCCATGGATTTACATGTGTTCCCCATCCCGATTGCCCCTCCCACCTCCCTTCTCATCCCATCCCTCTGGGTCTTCTCAATGCACCAGCCCTGAGCACTTATCTCATGCATTCAACCTGAGCTGGTGAAGCAAATTTTTTAAAAGCTCCTCATCTATAGGCTTTATGCAGGATCTTAGTTCCTTCACCAGCGATCCAACCTGTGCTCCCTGCATTGTCAGTGTGGAGTCTTAATCACTGGATCACCAGGGAAGTCCCCATTGCTAGCCTTAAAGTGAAATTTAGTAATGTGCGTTACTTTATTCAAAAAAATGAAAAAAAAACCTGCACAATACTAGCGTTTTCATATAAAATAGATAACACAGCTGAAGAGGCTCACTTGCCAAGTACTGTTTCATTATTAATTTGCTTCTCAATGGAGAACTTTTACTTTGTTCTTAATATACAAATAAAAATTAATTATGATCAAATAACCATTGACTGTCATAGAGTAAAACAATTACCTGTCACTTTTTAAACCATTTTACAATTTTATCAGAAAAATTTCCAGTGTTAGAAAATTTAGAAAGAATCAAACTGTTTAGTCAGATGCACTCAACAGATGTAAAATACATTAATTATACTATTATAACTATAACCAAAAATTGTATGAAATTAAGTCATAGTAAATTAAAACAGCACATGCTTACCTGGGTTTGTTTTTTACTTTAGCTTCTCTTGACTTGTCACTTAAAGTCTTCAGCCTATAATTCAACAAGTATAAAATATCACATTTTTACAGTTTAAGAAATTTTCAAATGCAAATTTCATATCTGATAAAATTTCTGGTTGGAGAAGTTAATACTTTTTTTAGAAAGAATTAAGCACCTCTACAGCAACAAATATTTGTATACTATATATAAGACACCACAAGTGGAAAATTTACAGCAAATATTTTTATATTTTTCTTGCCCCAAATCCCTTTTCTAGAAACATTTCCTAAATATGACTGGACTAAAGAAGCCTCACTACTCTGGAAACATCAGAAAAAAGACAGTGGTCTCCATAGGTGAACTAGATCAGTAATAAAAAATGTCTAAGCAGCACATTTTACAAAATTTATTTTTAATTGAAGGATAATTGCTTTACAACATTTTGCTGGTTTCTGCCATCCCTCAACATGAATCAGCCGTAAGTATACATATGCCCCCTCCCTCCTGAACCTCCCTCCTACCTACCCCCCCATCCCAGCCCTCTTGGTTGTTCCAGAGTCGTGGTTTGAGAATCATACAGCAAATTCCCCCTGGCTAGCCATTTTACATATGGTCAGTCAGTCAGTCAGTCCAGTCACTCAGTCGTGTCCAACTCTTTGCGACCCCATGAACCGCAGCACGCCAGGCCTCCCTGTCCATCACCAACTCCCAGAGCCCACCCAAACTCATGTCCACTGAGCCAGTGATGCCATCCAACCATCTCATCCTCTGTCGTCCCCTAGTGTGTATGTTTCCACGCTGCTCTCTCCATTTGTCCCACCCTCTTCTCCCCCAACCCCCCACCCCAGCCCCCTCCATGCCCGTAAGTCTTTGTCTAACCAACACATTTTAAAGTGATACTATACTAAGCACTCTCTAAATGCCAACACTCTGAGAAAGTTTAGCTATTGATAAAAAGTTTCTAAAATACATTACAAACCTCTTTCATTAAAGAGGAGTTGGTACATTTTCTGATAATTTAGGGGAGAACAGTACGAATGTACTTAGATGTTTCTGAGCTAGGAATGCCTCATAATTTGCCAACCTGAAACCAGTAAACAGTGGTTTTGGCAGTCTGTTCAGGATCCTATAGCTATTTTTAAAAATTTAACTTTTCAATCTCTACCACTGGTCTTCATATCAGCTACTACTTACTGCTTCTGCTAGCTATTTAACTCTAGCAGCCTGCGTGAGTGCTAAGTCATTTCAGTGACTCACTGTGACTTCTATGGACCGTAACCTGCCAGGCTCCTCTGTCCATGGGATTCTCTGGACAAGAATGTGTTGCTGTGTCCTCCTCCAGAGAATCTTCCCAACCCAAGGACAGAACCCACATCTTGAAAGCCTCCTGCATTGGCAGGCAGATTTTTTTTCTTTCTTTTTTTTTTTACCACTAGCACCACCTGGGAAGCCTGCTGCTGCTAAGTCACTTCAGTCATGTCCAACTCTGTGCAACCCCATAGATGGCAGCCCACCAGGCTCTGCCATCCCTGGGATTCTCCAGGCAAGAACACTGGAGTGGGTTGCCATTTCCTTCTCCAATGCATGAAAGTGAAAAGTGAAAGTGAAGTCACTCAGTTGTGTCCGACTCTTCGAGACCCCATGGACTGCAGCCCACCAGGCTCCTCCATCCATGGGATTTTCCAGGCAAGAGTACTGGAGTGGGTTGCCATTGCCTTCTCCCCCGGGAAGCCTACTCCCCTTCTATTTGCTTTTTTTTTTAATTATTGGGCTGGAAAACATAAATGGGCTAGAAATGCATACATAAAAAAATTAAACAGGCTTTTCTATATGTAAAATATGAAGTTCATAAACTTTGATTATACACACACACACACACACATATTTATATATATATTTTTTTACTTCGCCAGCCCATTTTTACCTACTTTTGACTGTGGACTCTGTATCATATGACAGACTGCCAAAATGTGAGAGCTCAATTATGAGATAATCCCACATACAATGAAAACATCTGGACGTGCTCTTCTTAATCTGATTACTTCCACAAATATTCACTTCTGAACAGAGTCTGAAGCACAGGCCACAGTACCCCAGCTAGCCCCACAAAGCTTTTGTAAAGCAGACACAGGTGCTGCCTCCTCGAGATGCTTTCCTGCATCCTGCCAGAAGCTGTCCCAGCATACCAGCGGAGCTGCCGTGTCCTAGCACACCAGCTGACTCTCCCAGAATGCCCCAGCCCTCTGCTGTGCGCAGCTGCACGTGCACACGCTGGCGAAGGACCCCAACTTTTCAGTCGATGATGCCTAGCTCAAAACCAGAAAGGGACTTCCAATATCAAATGCCATTTTTCAACAAGTTGCAGTATCAATTTCACACCAAGACTGTTTTTTTAATATTATTTTACATTCTTTTTCTAAAACTAAAATATTGATAAGATCAATTCCTCTACAATGTTAAAAAAAAAGACTTAGCAATCTCTTTAATACAAAACTATTTATAGACATCTCTCCAGATGAGCTGAATTCAGAAAGTCTTACCTGTCCTAGAAAAACAATAAAAAATTTTGAGCTTAGCTTGGAAACCAGTAAATCCAGTTTAAACTAAGATTAAGCAACAGCTCAAGAAAGTTATTTTGACAGTCATTCAACCATTTTCCACTCCAAAATCTGAGAAAGGCACTTGGTTGTGACATCCCAGGTAGAATTGTACTAGAACAAATGGACACAGCAGTGCATTATAGTCAAAATGATTCTAGTATTATTTTCAGTGATTTGGGATAATTCATATGGTAACAAGGATATTGAAGCAAACTGTTAAGATCATCTTTGGACCACTCATTATACAACTGAGCAAATCTCTAGGTTAGTATTTCAAATATTTATTTCTGAAAAAAACTGTAAATCCTCAATTGTAATATATCAAATTTGGGTTTCTCCTCCATACTTCCCCAAAAGAAACAAAAAATTCGTTTGGAATGAAACAGAAAAGAGGAAGCTTACAGAGAGCTGAAACTAAAATTATTCAAAGAATGAGTAAGCTTCTCCAGGTGGCTTCTTAACAACCATCTGCTTTAAAAATTGGTTTTTAACTAACTATAATGTGTGGAACTTATTTGATCTGGATTTGAACAAATCAGCTGTAAAAAGATACTTTTAAGAACCAGGAAATTTGATTATGGACTGGATAATTCATAACATCATAGAATTAGTATTAATTTTGTTAGGTATGACATCGGCATTGCAGTTATATAATGTGTGTGTTTTTTTTTAAAGATGAAAATTGATTTCTGAGAGAGGTGAGAACTAAGTCTGAGGCTTACTCTATAAGTAGTGCTAGTCACTCAGTCATGTCTGAGTCTTTGAGATCCCATGGACTGTAGCCCACCAGGCTCCTCTGTCCATGGGATTCTCCAGGCAAGAATACTGGAGTGGGTTGCCATGCCCTCCTCCAGGGGATCTTCCCAACCCAGGGATCAAACCCATGTCTCCTGAATTGCAGGTGCATTCTTTACTATCTGAGCCATCAGGAAAGCTCATACTCTATAAGGGAGAGACTGAGTAAATGTGACAATCATTAACTGTTGTATCTGAATAATGTATCTATGGGGCTAACTGTATATATTTTTGTATATGTTTAAAACTTTGTTTAAAAAAAAGTTTTGGGGTTTCCCTGGTGACTCAGTGGTAAAGAATCCAGCCGCCAATGCAGGAGACATGAGTTTGATTTCTGGTCTGGGAAGATCCCACATGCTACGGGACACCTACACCCATGTGCCACAACTACTGAGCCTGCGCTCTAGAGCCTGGGAGCTGCAACAACCGAGTCCACAGACCACAAGTGCTGGGGCCGCCCTGGAGGCTCAGGCGGCAAAGCATCTGCCTGCAGTGCAGGAGACCCGGGTTCATCCCTGGGTCGGGAAGGTCCCCTGGAGAAGGAAATGGCAATCCACTCCAGTATTCTTGCCTGGAGAATCCCATGGACAGAGGAGCCTGGCGGGGTCACAAAGAGCCGGACGCGACTCAGTGACTAACACACACCACAACTACTGAACCGTGTGCTCTGGAGTCTCTGCTCCACGAGAGAAGCCATCTCAACGAGAAGCCCGTGCAACTTGAGAGTAGCCTCTCCTTGCCGCGGCTAGAGAAGAGCTCGCATAGCAACACCCAGCACAGCCAAGTAAATAAATAGATTCAAAAATTTTTCGAAAGTTTTAATAACAAAAAACAGTCTTGTAGACATTTATCTTTTCTCATCATACCTTTTCCATGTAAATCATCAATATGCGAAATTCAAAATAGAAACTGCTGGAAAAAAACAAAATAGCAAGAAGAAAGTTGGAAACAGTGAAAAAGTTAAGGGAAGGACAAAAATAGTCAATGTAACACTTTTTAAGTTGAAAATTTAACAAGTAATCCTCCCAAAAGCAAAAAGGTCCTTTCTGAAGTACATACTCCAAACCTCAAATTCAACTGACAGGAGCTTACCATTTTTATCTGAGGATAACTCTTTTAAGTTTCTCACAGTGATTCTGCACTGGAAACAACCCATTAATTAATTAAGTCACACAGTGTCTTGCCACGCTGAGAAGGAAATACTGGTCTGAGTGCAATTCCCCGGTTTCCTAAACCATAAAATAGGAGTATTATACTGACCATAATGATTTGCCACAAGAATTAAAGGAAATTCCGAATATGACTCTGGCAGCAGGCAGTAACTGTAAATTATAGAGGCAATTCAAACAAAAAGTATAATAAAAATGATCAGCAAGGATAATAAAAATGATCGCCATCAAGAAAGAAGCAATGTACATTACAGGGCCAAGGTAAAATAAAACAGAGGTTCCCCAATGCACCAGCTCCCATAAAAGGCTTCTCCTCCGTTCCTAGCCTTCTTCACAACTCAGCACACCCCCAGGGAGACAGGAGAGCCACTGCATGGGTGTATTCATACACAGACTTCGAAGTGAGCCACCTCTTAACTGTTTCCTACTCGAAGCAACCAATGCATGCCTCAGAGTCTGAAGTACTTGCTTTCAAATTCATCATCAC